TGGGACTTGTTCCTTATTTCATTTCATTTCATTCCTGCAGGCACTGGCACTGTTCCTTTAGAAATTCATTCACCTGAAATACAGGTTGGATTTTTCAGCCAGAACACAAAATTGCTTCTGCTTTTTTCTTCCTTTTTTTTTTTCTTTTTTTTAATTATTATTATTATCATTATTATAACACACAGTTACAACAGGTTTTAAACAAAGCTTAAACTTACAAGAGGCAARAATATTTTCTGAGCATGAGTTTTAAAATCTTGCTTAAGAAAAGAAGGTTTAAGAGACAGGTGAAATCAGGGAATCAGCTCTTCTGAGGTATTTTAACTCAAGTTTTTTTTGGTTAAAGGTTGAGTGGCCTGAGTGTGTATTTTTTGTATTTTGAAATGTGCAGTGTATGGACATGACTTGGGTAAGATAATTTTGGGTTAAAATCCATGATCCTGTTGGCTCAGTCTCCTGCCTCCCAACAGTGACCATAAACAGATGCTCTTGGCTGCAGTGCCAGGCACTTYCAGGCCCTGATAAACTGTTTTTTAATCTGCTGAGGTTGGAGTGGTTTTGTTCCCTCCTATTTTGTCCCTCTAGAAATGGAACAAAATGATCCTTGCCAGATGTTTTTACAAAGAGCCTCTGAAGAGCAGGGGTCTTCCATCTTGGGTATTGGGATTATTTCACTTAAATTATTTTTAAAAGCCACMTTTTCTCAGGACTTTCTTGGTAGTTTTTATTAATTTGGAAAACCCTTTTTTGGGGGAGCTCCAAAGAGAACCAGAAACTCTGTTTGGGAGGTTTGTGGCTGAGTGAATTGGTGCTTTAAAAACCTCCTTGTTTTGTAGATCTCTGTGATTTAATGWGGGATCACCCCAATGTGCCCATCAGGGGTGGTGGTGCCAGGGTGGGGAGTGGGCAGCACAGAACTGAGCTCTGGGTTGGTTTTGGGGTTTTGTTGTGGGGTTTTTTTAGCRCTGAGTTATTCCTGTTCCCATGGGGTTTGAGCTGTTGGGGCTGGCAGGAGAGCACAGGGAGCCTGGCAGAGCAAA